TGTTTTCCATCATGCTAGAAAGCAGCATCTGTTATCCCTATTTTCAAAAATTCCGGAGAGCGATCTGATTCATCTAACTACCGCCCCATTAGTCTTCTTCCTGTCATAAGCAAGGTTTTTGAATCTTTAATCAACAAACACTTAATCTCTCATCTTGAATCAAATAACTTACTTTCTGATCATCAATATGGATTTCAGTCTTCTCGTTCTACAGCTGATGTGCTAACAGTAATAACCGATAGGTTTTATCGTGCATTAGATAGAGGTGGAGAGGTTAAGGCTATCGCACTTGACATTTCTAAAGCTTTTGATAAAGTTTGGCTGCTGGTCTTCTCCATAAGCTTTCTTCTTATGGTGTAGCTGGTAACGTCTTTAAGATTATTGAGTCCTTTCTTTCCAATCGTAGTATAAAAGTTGTCTTCGATGGACAACACTCTTCTTCACATCCTGTAACTTCAGGGGTTCCTCAAGGTTCAATCCTTGGCCCTATACTCTTTTTAATTTACATTAACGATCTTCCAGATATTCTCACATCTAAGGTGGCATTATTCGCTGACGACACTACCATTTACTCTTGTCATGATAAGAAGCCTACACTCTCTGATTGCTTGGAGGGGGTATCTGAGCTTGAAAAGGATCTCACTTCTGCTACAGCATGGGGCTCACAGTGGCTGGTGAACTTTAATTCAGATAAAACTCAATTTTATTCGGCCAATCGTTATCGTAATAATTTAGATCTTCCTATATTTATGAATGGTAATGTACTAGATGAGTCATCTACCATTCATCTTCTAGGATTAACTCTTACTTCTGATCTTTCTTTTAAACCGTATATCAAATCCATTGCAAAATTAGCATCTGCTAAGGTTGCATCTCTTTATCGAGCTCGACACTTTCTTACTCCAGATTCTATTCTCTATCTCTATAAATCTCAAATCCGTCCCTGTATGGAATACTGTTGCCACATCTGGGGCGGATCTTCTAATGATGCTCTTTCTCTTTTAGACAAGGTGCAAAAACGAATTGTAAACATAGTTGGACCTGCTCTGGCAGCCAATCTCCAACCTTTGTCACATCGTCGTAATGTTGCTTCTCTTTCTCTTTTCTACAAATACTATAATGGGCACTGCTCTAAAGAGCTAGCGTCCCTTGTGCCATCTACTAAAATTCATTCTCGTGTTACTCGCCATTCAATTAAGTCTCATCCTTTTTCTGTGACTGTTCCTAAGTGCTTTAAAAACTCTTATTCTTCTAGTTTTTTTCCTCGAACATCAGTTCTTTGGAATTCGCTTCCTTCATCTTGCTTTCCTGATTCATATAATTTGCAATCTTTTAAGTCATCAGTCAATCGTTATCTTGCTCTACAGATTTAGTCTTTTCTCTTCCAGTAACTTCCAACTCTTATAGTGGTTGCTTGCAGCCTTGTTGGACGTGAAGATGTTTAAAAAAAAAAAAAAAAAAAAAAAAAAAAAATCAAAATAAAAATCATTAAATTATTTTTTAACAGAATTTAATCTAAATAATAAAGTAATTATGAAATTTATCCGATCTATTTTTAATATATATAATTGTATAAAATTTCATCATGATGTAAAAAATAGTATTCTGTCAAATACCAAATATTAAAATTTATAATATTTTATATATATACATATATATATATATATATATATATATATATATATATATATATATATATATATATATATATATATATATATATATATATATATATATATATATATATATATATATATATAAACTAACTAATTAAAAAAATCATTTTCTAAGCTTTTCTATTTTAAAACAGTTTCTAGGCTTTTCTATACACCAAGCCTTCCCAGGAAAGATGTGCCGTTTTTTTTCTCATACGACAACAAAAACGTTTTTCAACTTAGAGAACGTGATCACGGCCGTTTGCGCAAGTTTTATTATATGCGTTACTGAAAAATTGTTTTAAATTTAATAACTGCATAAGAAATTATGCAATATATATATAATGCAAAAATATATAATGCAAAATTATATTTTTTAATTTTATATTAAAAATATATAATGCAAAAAAATATATAATGCAAAAAAAACTTAAATAGAAAACAATAATAATAGTTTAAATAATAAGTGTGTTGTTTTTATCTTTATTTTTTCTTAGTGGTTATTATTATTGGCAACAAAATTCATTAAGTCAAAGCAAAAAAAAAAATGTTTTTAGGCGTTAAAAAGGATGACTTTCCCATATTTTATGTATTTTTTTTTTTAAAGAGGAAAGAGAAAATAAAAAATCGTCATCTGTTTGTAAAATATATTTGTATAATTATAATGTAACAAGTTTATATAAAAAGTTAAATTATTCGATCGCATTTGCAAACTCTGGTAAAATATTAGGTCTTTAAAATTTTAGTTCATGCAAAGCTGTGTACTTTGTTTATAAGAAGCAAATTATTAAAAGTTTGCTAGCGAGAAAGTTACAAAAAACAAAACAAAAACAATAAACTTATGACTACAAAAGTAATAACACTTTGGTCACTAACTGCATTATAAAAGTAATAAAACTATAATAGTGTTATTAGATTTATAAAGCACTTATTACTTTTAAAGATCATTCTTTGTTCAAAATTTTAGTTCATGCAAAGCTGTATACTTTGTTTATAAGAAGCAAATTATTAAAATTTTGCTAGCGAGAAAGTTACAAAAATACAAAACAAAAACAATAAACTTATGACTACAAAAGTAATAACACTTCAGTCACTAACTGCATTATAAAAGTAATAAAACTATAATAGTGTTATCACATTTATAAAGCACTTATTACTTTTAAAGTTCATTCTTTGTTTAAACAACATTATTAATTCCAAACATTTATTAAAGTAGAAAAGCATCTAGAAAAAATAAAGCGGATATTCAAATATTATTAAAAATTTCAGGAACTTTCACATATCACTAAAATAACGTTATAAAAAAGTACTTTATAAAAAGTATAGCATTATGAAAAACATTTTGCAAAAACGCGCGATAATTTTAAAATCAACCAATAAAAAACTTTTATTGGTTATTTTTAAAATTAACGCGCGTTTTTACAGTCCATTAGTAACGTTTTTCATAATGCTAAACTTTTAATTTGATACATTTTCACAAAGTTGTTTGTCACGATTTTATAAGTTACTTTAGTTTTAATATTATTTGAACATCCACTTTTTTCTTCTAGATATTTTTCTACTTCAATTAAAATTTGGGAATAATAATGTTGCTTGAACAAAGAATGAATTTTAAAAGTTATAAGTGCGTTATAAAAGTAATAACACTATTGTAGTGTTATTATTTTTGTAATGCAGTTAGTGACTTTTGTAATGCAGTTAGTGTTATTGCTTTTGTAATCATAAGTTTATTATTTAATTTTTTATTTTTTTGCTAACAAATTTAAATTAATTCTCCCTTTAAAAACAAGGAACACAGTTTTGTTTAAACTAAAATTTTGAATACTAGATGTTTTTCCAGATTTTGCATTTTGCATTCGCTTAATTCAACTCTTGTTGTTACATTAAAATTATACAAATAAATTTTACAAACACATTGCAATTTGTATTTTCCCTATCCTCTTAAAAAAAATTAAAAATAAGAAAATCATTCTTTTTATTGTAGACTTCAAACTGTTTTTTTTTTGCTTCGCCTTATCTAATTTTGTTGCTGAATGTAACTCTAAAAAAACAAAAATAAAAACAGTACACAAATTATTTAAAATATTAATTTGTTTTTATTTTTTCCTATTTCAATCTCTTTATATTTTGTTTTTTTGTTTTTGAAACTTTTTCAGCATTATTATAAAACTTGCAAACGACCATGTTCACGTTTTCTAAAATATTATAATCGCGTGTGGTCATACAAGACGAAAAACCGCACGCCTTTCCTAGGAAGGCTTGATATGTGGGTTTTTTTTTTAATTTTATTTACTAACAACACATATTACGGGTTGCTTACTGCTAGTTAAAAATTAATAATATCATGTTGGTATATGAATATATTTTGCAGATGAAAAAAAACTATTTAATTAACTTTAAGCACAATAAAACAGAAATAAAAGAAAAGAAAGGTAAAAGATAGTAATGGTGAGAAGACTCAAATAGAAAAAGAAAAAAGCTATATATTAATAGTGCAGAGAAAGTGTATGAAGAAATAACAACAAATTGAATAAGAAATAATACCAGGGCTCAAATTAAGCGTAGCGCGATTGCTTTTACACCTTCGCGATCAGTTTTTTTTTTAATAATTTATTTTTGCGATTTTTTTTTTTTTCAACTTTTTTACTCATATAGCATTTTTTTGTCAATTCTTAAGAGTAATTCTTTCACCATAACGTATGTCACACTAAATTAATCTTTTGAATAGAAACTTAAAGAGGAATGATCAATTGCTCTTTCACACTGAGATTTTCATTTAACATAAAGCACTTTTTAAATTAAATTACTTTAAATCTCTGCATGGAAGCGAAAAACTGAAAAAGGAAAAAGAGAATTTTTTCGTTCTTTTTTTTTTAACAAAAAACACAGTAAAAAGTTCAATATATAAATGTTAAAAATGTTCAAAACAATTTTGTAGTTATAAGTCATTTTATGATTTTAAAAAATCCACACCTAACCCAAACATAATTTTAAGAAATAAAAATATAAACTTTAAATAACATTTTAAATAAAATTTAAATGTTCATAAATAGTTTTAATGTAGTTAAAGTAATGCAGGTGTACATGTATCTTACAAAAAAAAATGAAGCCGTACATGTAGCTCAAACTGGGGGCAAATTCCAAATTAAATGGAACTTGCTTAATTAAAATCCCAATTAAATGGATAATGCAGCTTTTCTTCTGATTCCATTTATGTGACAAAAATAATAAAATAAAAGACATTTTTATCAAAGCAAAAATATGATTTTATAAATTAGTACAATAAAATTTGCAAAGTATCACAAATAATATGAAAAAAATAAACACAAAAAATAAAAACCTTACCTATGTCACCAATTTTGAACGTTTCAGAAAGACCTTTAATAAAAACTTCATGACCCCAGCATGTCACATTGATAAAATATTCAGCAGAATCTCTCAGCACAAAGGACAGCTGATACTTGAGTTGCCCATGTTCTATCTCAAATTAATAATTCAAATCTTTATCTAATTTTTAATTTAGTTTAATATAAAACTCATTACTTTTTTATGATTTTCAATATTCAAACAAAATAAAATGGTATACAACCTAATTTTAGGTTGTGAGATGCTATTAAAAAAGTTAAAAATGTACTTAAAATATTTTTAGCGAATCCCAGCAAGGTTTGATAAAGGATTATTTACCTTTTTGTTAATTATTTCAAAGGCTAAGGTAATACTTTGTTTAACAATTCTTAATTACTTGCTGATGACAAAAAAATCATATTAACACAAAAAGCAGTCATGTAAAATTGCATTAAAATTTTTTTAATCAATTTTTTAATACAACTTATTAATCAGGAAACTGCAAGCTTTAAGTTAAATCTACTTTATTGTTGTTTTTTAACATAAATACACTTACGTTTTTTATCAGGAAATGAACGAGTTTCATACTTTGCAATAACTAACCCAACAAGTTTCTAAAATTGATTTATTAAACTATATATATATATATATATATATATATATATATATATATATATATATATATATATATATATATATATATATATATATATATATATATATATATATATATATATATATATATATATATATATATATATATATATATATATATATATATATATATATATATATATATATATATATATATATATATATATATATATATATATATATATATATATATATATATATATATATATATATATATATATATATATATATATATATATATATATATATATATATATATATATATATATATATATATATATATATATATATATATATATATATATATATATATATATATATATATATATATATATATATATATATATATATATATATATATATATATATATATATATATATATATATATATATATATATATATATATATATATATATATATAT